AGCTATGCAAATTTCCAATATATCCTTTTTTCCATTATATAAGGATTTTTTCTGCAAATCGGAAAGAAGAAAAATTTACTTAGATCAAATTATTATTTCGTTTACCACAATGAACATTTTTTATTATCATGTTTGTTAACAAAAATACAAACAAACTGAAGAAAAGGGAAGAACATTGATGTCAAACGAATATGCATTCTCATTCATCCTGATTTTTTTGTGAAATCTTCATCTTTTAGTCTCCAAATTATGTGTTGGTCTTTCTTTTATATATTGCGTTATGACGTTTTGTGAAAAATCTGTACGTGATGGAGAAAAATGGATATCATTTTTGGATTCAGTATACAGGAATTACTGTAGAACAGTAACAGATTCAGAGACAGAAAGTTAGAATTAATGTTAGTTATGCTAATAAACAGGAGTAAAAGAGAAGGCATGTCACAAGGTGCAAGACATGGCTAGTCTTATTCTCAAGGAATGATAGTTTCTTAGCAAATATAAACCTCTGCTCTAGGATGGGTAGAAAAAATCCCAAAGAATTTATAAGTGTGTTGTTTATGGTAATACTTCCTCAATAATTCAGTTTCTAGGACACTGTGAGTCACTATTAATCTGTAGCTAGGTTTATTCAAATTAACAATATAACTGAGCACAATGGCAGGGACTCATTACTTCTTCTAGATACCATGGGCTTCTTATGCCTAAAACTTCTATTGTTTTTAGTAAACCTTATTAGTAAAATCCAGTAAGTTAAACAGTCTTGTTTGAAAAAGTAGAAAACTGTTATGGGTAACTCACTTATCAACATTTAGTGGCTAATAGATGTGCAACTGTATCTAACTTACATTACAGTTAACCCTTTAACTGTTCCTATCGAGTATAGTCAATTCCCATATAACTTCCTGAGGTGCTCTGATTTGGTATATTTTTTTGGTTTTCTGTCGATCACTGCTCCTACCAAGTAAACTCAATTGAGCTGAAGAGCAGCTGTTCAGTGCTGACATCTGTTGTCCCTATGGCCCGGTAAATGTTTTCTTTCTTCTACTTTGTTCGAACCACCTGTATTGTCTTATGTCTGTGTTGTTCCAGTGTGGATAGAACGTACTCAATCACAGCATCTCACAATGGAAAGAGAAAGCATTATGCTCTTAAGGAAAATTAAATTTTAAAATTATTTACAACTCCTGAATATGATTTGATGGAAGATTAATAATTTGAAATGGATAAGGAATGTACATGAAAATGAATATCAAAGTGAAGATCTCTGTATAGAAAACTACAACATTGATGATGAAGGCCCCATACCTATTGTGTCAACATCGAAAACAATGATTCAACATAAGGCAACAACTAATAACAAATTAAATGTGTTTTCATGGAAAAAATTTTTTTAAACCATTTAACAACAAATTCGAGACTGCACGGTAAGAAGTTTAACAAAAACAGAACACCATGTGAATTGTTTGAACATTTTGTCTCACCTGCATTAATATCAAATATTGAGGAGGAGACAAACAAATACTACAAATATGTAATTGAAACATGAGTGAACACTCACACTTGCAACATTGTAACAAGACAAATGGTGCTGAAATCTATGTTTTTTATAGCCAATTTTTCAATGCATTATGTCCACGGATAGATTTTTGTTGATTCTCGTTTATTTCACTTTTATGATAACTCAGAACAGAAGTGAACGATAATATTCATAGATAAGGAATGCAATAATGCGTGCTAAAAATAGTTGTCAAGAAATAATGTATCCATTTGAAAATCTATGCATTGATGAGAGCTTGGTTTTATTCAAAGGACAGCAGGGATTCAAGCAGTATATTCCTTCAAAAAGAAATCAATTTGGCATAAAGCTGTTTGTACTCTGTGATGTAGAAACTGGTTTTGTGTTAAGCTCTGTAGTTTTTACTGGTAATTTGACTGATCTGGTTTCCCAAGAAACCATAGGATTTTTGTGAAATATAGTAACAAAATTTCTGGAGCCTTACCTCAACAAAGGTCATGCTCTGTATGTTGACAGTTGGTACACAAGCCCATTATTACTTAGTTGGTTTCAAGAAACCAAAACAAACTATTGTGGCACTGTCAAAAAGCAGAGAAAAGAATTACCAGCTCTAAATGCTAAACTAAAACCAAGCACACTGATTCAATGCTGGCACTGAAGTGGAAAGACAAATGAGAAGTTTATGAGTAGCTGACTACTCTTCATACACATGTAATAGTTGAAACTGGAAAGAAAGATTATCACAATGATGAGAAAATAAACTAAAATATGTTTCAGAATGCATAAGAACATGGGAGCTGTAGATAGGTCAGATGTGAAGCTGGGTTCAATTTCTTGTATTTTAAAGGCAGTGAAATGTATAAGAAGTTGTTTTTTCATTGTATTGATATGTTTTTGTTAAATTCACATGCTCTGTATCTGATGACTTGTCACACACCACTGCAGTCCTTTCAACTACAACTTGTGAAGCAGTTACTAATATAATACAACAAACACATTCCATCAAGGAAACAAGGAGGGCTATCTAATTCACCAACAACAGAG